TAAATGTATGTACATGTATGTATGAAATCTGTATGTTTAAACAGAGCACTGTTATCAACTGAGTACACAGTAGTTAGTACTGTATATGTGTACAGGTGACACTTGACTTTTGTACACTGGGGCATGTTTCAAACAATTGGGTTAAACAAACCGACGTGTTTGACAAACTTTCTCTGGCCTGTTTCATACACATTCTTACGTTTTGCCTCTTTTGTCCTGTAATATTCTCTGTCAGACTCCAGAAGTTAAATACATGAATAGTTTCATTTGGTTGGTAAGTTAGTGACTGAGTGAAGAGACTCTTGTCACACAATGACGTGTTTTATTCACAGCCGACATTTCGGTGACCGCCTGTCACCTTCCTCAGGGCAATTCTGACTGGTTCACATTGCACTGCAGCACAGGTATTGCTGCTATAGATGCCCCGAGGCTAGAATTGCCCTGAGGAAGGTGACAGATTTTTCAAGCCTTTAAAAATGCAATTTCCCACATTTTGAGAGACAAATCTCCAAGCAGATCCCTTTCGGTGGCAAGACAGTGTCTATTATAGCCAGAGAAGGTAGCGGTGGGGGTAGCGACAAAAAAAAACAGCCATATGATATAAAAAGCTAACAACCATTCCCCCACAACCTCTGCTTGGAGAGTAGTGGCTCCTGTGCCTTGGGGCCAAGTTGTTATCAAGGCTTTTCAAAACAACATTACTGAGATGCCGGTGCCAATTGTGCATGAATTCCCTGTGCTGGGTACAGACAGCTGTAAGCCAGCCGCTGTCAGAGTGCTCAGGACAAAATGGCAGGAGATTGAAGACTGACACCTTATCTAGTCCTTAACTTCCCCTTATCAGGGAAAGGACTCTGATATCAGGACTGGGCTTAGGGCAGAGACTACCGGGCTTTTCCAAGCTAGCAATGACCAACAGAATTTAACTGTTCTTCTCAGTCACAGTACATGTAACGTTAATTACAGGAATGCTAGGAAAGGACTCTGATATCAGGCCTGGGCTTAGGGCTGAGACTACCAGGCTTTTCCAAGCCAAGAGGATGGAATAAGATGACCAGCAACTTTTTAAAAGAACTAACACAAATGTGTTATAGGTAATTCTAGGGAAAGGACTCTGATATCAGGACTGGGCTTAGGGCAGAAACTACCAGGCTTTCTGTAGAAGCTGAAATAAGATGACCAAGAATGACAGAGAATGACAGAGAAAAAACTTGAAATTCACATGTATTGAAATTCAAAGGTCCATTGTATAAACAATGAACTTCAACTTGGCGAGTGAACCATGTAGATTCACGTAAATCCATGGACATTTTATCTACTGTTTGTAATTTCAACCAGGCTACTGGGATTTTTAGAAGACTGATAAAATAACCACTAAGCTTTGACTATGGACACCTTATCAGTACGTAAAAAAGCGTGAAATTCATGTCTTACTTTTACAGGTAATTCTATTATATATAGAGCATGTAAATGCTGCTATAGAATAGACTCTGTATGAAGTGTTGCTCCAAAAGGGAGTCAGGTATCATTGTTTATAGGAAATTCAACTCACCGTGTAAATACCAATGCCAGTAAACCTGACAATGACGTCAATGAATGAAACTTTCACTTGTTGACCGACTGGTCTTCTTAATCTCTATATGTAAATACAGCACTACAAACCTAACCAGGCTAAGAGCCGGACTACCCTAACTGTAGTAGCTAACCAAGAATGTTATACTTAAAGGGGCTCCTTGAGCTAACTCAAAGATGAAACCCTAACCAGGCTGAAAGCCAGACTATTCCATGCTGTAGCCAACCCAATGATGAAGCCCTGTGCTGTAGCTATGTGCTGTAGCTAGCCCAATGATCAAACCCTAACTAGTCTGAGAGCCAGACTATCTCATACTGTAGCTGACCCAATTATGGAGCCCTAACAAGGCTGAGAGCCAGACTATCCTACCTTGTAGCTAACCCAATGATGGACCCCTAACCAGTCTGAGAACTAGACTATCCCACACTATAGCTAAGCCTATGATAAAGCCATAACAAAGCTGATGCCAGGCTATCCTACTGTAGCTAACCCAATGATAAAACCCTAACAAGGCTGAGAGCCAGACTATCCTACACTGTAGCTAACACAATGATGAAGCCCTAGCCAGGCTGAGAGCCAGACTATACCAAGCTGTAACTAACCCAAAGATGAGGCCCTAACCAGGCTGAATGCCGGACTATCCTACACTGTAGCTTAACAATGATGCCACCCTAACCAGGCTGAGAGCCAGACTATCCTACACTGTAGCTAACATGTGATGAAGCCCTAACCAGGCTGGGAGCCAGACTATCCTACACTGTAGCTAACCCAAAGATGAAGCCCTAACCAGGCTGGGAGGAAGACTATCCCATACTCTAGCTAACCCAAAGATGAGGCCCTAACCAGTCTGAAAACCAGACTATCTCACACTGTAGCTAACCCTGGTAGCTAACCCAATGCTGAAGCCCTAACCAGGCTGAGAGCCAGACTATCCTACAATGTAGCTAACAGGATGATGATACCCTAACCAGTCTGGATGCCAGACTATTCCCAGACTGTAGCCCATCCATCCATCAATGCTGCAATCCCCTGAAAGCACATCTGCTGAAAACCTGGGGGAAAATCAGGTAGCACTTCTCTGTCACATTCAGACAAGTCACAGGGTATCTGTATCTCTGTCAGATTCAGACAAGTCACAGGGTATCTGTATCTGTAAAGCTGGAATAACTGCCCTTAGGCATAACACACCAACTTCTGTAGCCAGTATAACTGTCCTTTGACGTAACACACCGGATTCTGTATCTGTGTAGCCGGTATAACCACCCTTCGGCACAACACACCAGCTTCTGTACTTGTATAGCCGGTATAACTGTCCTTTGGCGTAACACACCAGCTTCCGTATCTGTAGCCAGCCAGAGTAACTGCCCTACGGTGCAACAAACCAACTTTGAAGGAATGCAGGTGCAATTGGCTATACTGGTATTACTATTACACTATGATTTGCCTGCAAATCTATCTCTGTAAGCATTTAAAGCTATCTACAAATCTAGTAGATAACTTTGGTACTTGAAGGCAGGACTGTACAAAACTGGCTTTAAAAACAATGGCAAAAATTCTGCCATTGTATGCAAGGAGAGAGGGGATAATTATTATTCGCAATCGGTGGTGAATTTGTTATTAAAACAAATTATGTTGTAATTGTTATTGTTGTCGATATCTTCAAAACAACATAAAAGTTAGCTATTTTTCATTAAATTCTGCCACTTTCAAATAACTGTTGCATTGACAAATAATAATTACTTAATTCACCTAGCCTCCATAACATGCCAAAAACTGGGGGGTTTGGGGGTCTTTTGGGTCTTTAGGAGCATTTATCTAATTTATGTGTTATTTTCTGATTGCATATAGACAACATAGCCGGCCTGGTTGAATTACCCCCGTAGAACTGGGCTAATCAGAAAACAGCCGAAGACCACCAAACCTCCAGTTCTATAAGCCTGCTACGGAGGCTAGAATCTTCCCCCTCCTTTTTTTCTATCATCATTTCCCCTTTTAACTCCCCCAGGGGGTAAGCTTGCCAGTTTGCGGGGGGGGGGGGTCTAAGGGCGGAGTAATGAGATCATCCCTACACTGGTAGCACGCTGTGACAATGGAGCGCAAATTAGCCCTGCGACACCCCCAAATTTGTGCAGTGAACACAAGCCACAATGGCATCGCAAACAGTGGGGGTTTGGTGGCAATCTCTCCAAGCAGAGGTTTGGGTTTTTGGCTTATTTTTGGAGCATTTTTAGGCTTTCTTTTCTGAGGGTTTCTTTTTTGCACTGGTATTTTTCTTCAAATTAGGTTGGCATAAAATAACCTCAAAATAAGTCAAAAATTGGCCCAAAATAAGCCAAAAAATCAAAACTCTGCCACAATGGCAAGGCAAACAGTCCACTGTGTGTTTGGTGGCACTCTCTCCAAGCAGAGGTTCGGGTTTTGGGCTTATTTTTGGTACATTTTTAGGCTTTTTCAACAGGGTTTCTTTTTTAGAAATAGAATCTTCAGGTCAGGTATGACATCAGTCTAGCACTGGTATCATTTTTTCAGGCCAACATTAGTTAGGTTAGCCTAAAATAAGCCAAAAATTGGTGTTTGGTGGTACTCTCCAAGCAGAGTTTTGGGTTTTGCCCTATTTTTGGCAGTTTTTTTATTGGGCTTTCTTTTTTTTACTGGTATCTTTTTTTTACTCCAACAATAGTTTGGTTAGTGTAAATCAAAGCCAAAAACTGAGCAAAAATAAGCCAAAACCCAAACCTCTGCTTGGAGAGTAGAGCAAACAGTGGGTGTTTGGTGGTTGATTATTCCTACCCTACCTTCCCACTAAGGACATTAGATACAAAGCCTCAAAATCAGCCACAATTTAAAGGAAACAAACTGCAATATTTAGCCTGTATCATCGCGTATAAAAGCACCTTTGGGAAGGCTACTGTGGTAGAGTGACCTACCGAGATTTCTTTACTCTCCAAGCAGAGGTTTGGGTTTGGGGTTATTTTTGGCGTGTTTCAAGGCTTTTTTATCGGGGTTTCTCTTTTGCACAGGAATCTTATTTCCACCCAATCCAGTGCAAAAAAGAAACCCCGTTAAAAAGCCTAAAAACACGCCCAAATAACCCAAAACCCAAACCTCTGCTTGGAGAGTTGATTTCGCCAACAAAGTCAGCAAAGCCTGTAGATTTCTAGGAGACTAAAGTCACTGTAAACTACCGGTGTAGCTTGTATCAGTTAGGCCTAAAAGTCCCTTGTGGGTAAAAGTTAGGCTTAAAGTACTTATATTTTCTTGTACACAGAACGCACTTCAAGGCCTCTATACCGACAAGACTCCACCACAAAATCATAACATACCCAAGCCTTATAATTTTAACCCCCCCCCCCCCTCGACCACTAGCTGTACTTCTTTTAAACACTTGGATTATGATCTTAAGACTTTAAAATTGTAAGGTACATACCTTCAGCTTCAACTCCTTGGCCGCTGGCTCCTTGAAGAAAGAAGAGAAGGCAAGCCAAGACGATTCTTGCGACCGATTCGAGTCCAGATTTCTGCGGGGCTAGCGCCATCTTTCCACCGACTGTTCAACTCACTAGGTCCGGTTGGGTTCAGAAAATATCCGCAAGCGGGCCGCGGCCTCGAAGGCAAATGTTTACAAAGGACAACCCGAGACTGAAGGATGGTTGTGTGGACACTCTGCTGTCCCTTCTAGGCTCCGAGGTCAAGCATTCAGAGACTGTGGAACCCGCTAGAATTACGCTCAATCCGAAATCACTGCACTGTGCAAGCAAAACCTTCGTGTAGCGCCACCGCAGATATCGTATAACGGTCCTCCTCAAACACAACAAGAGAAAGGATAGGATGTAGAGCTAGAAAAATGGGTCTAAAAACTCCTCTGCGTGCTCGCTAAGCTTTAGCTGCGGTTTCGGGAGCACACTGGAAGGAAGTTTAGCACACAGACAGGAACATAAACATCCTGAAAGAGAGAGGAAAGGGGTAGGAACTGGGCCGGAGCGTGGCGGTGTTGTCCCGAACTGCGGGCGGCCTGGCAGCACACACATGCACTGTCAGCTGGAGACCACGGGCGGGCGGGAACAATGCAGTATTTTGTGTGCCGTAAGCTGGGGTTTTTTTATTTATTTATTTCAGGGGTGCCGGAGTATACAGTGCACGTTTACGTAATACAGTACAATTTTAGTTGTATACAGTGCAATTTTAGTTGTATACAGTGCAATTTTATGGAATACAGTGCAATTGTACGGAATACAGTGCAATTTTACTAGTATACAGTGCAATTTTACTAGTATACATATTTTACTAGGCTGGGCAGTATCAATTTTGTATATAGGAAACTGCGAAATATATGATGTATTATGCAATGCATGTATAACGTTAACTTGTTGGCATCCTCTGTTATACAATGCATGCATAACAGTAGATAACAGATATAGACAGAAACTTTCAGAAAGACAGACAGATTTGTATATTTTGGAGGCCCTGTATATTTTCGGTGCGGTTTCCTTGTGGGTTTGTTTGTTGAATGTGGTCACGTTAACTATAGTAGTATTATAAATAGACGTTTTATAGTACATGTATTTGCTAATGGTGGGGAACGGTATGGCTGACCGCAGAACTAGATCACGCTGCACTACCAACTAAAACCGCAAGGGCGTTTCACCAGAAGGGTGCAAACGCTTTTCACAAAATGATTCTGTTCTATTTTACATTTTTAGCCTCTACCAGGCTTCGGGAGGCGGCTGGAAAGAGAAGAAATCGGGCAAATAGAGAGATAACATGTCAGGGGAGTTTGTCTGCTGGGAGAGAACATTTTGCCGCACCCGCACTCTTTCCATCCGCCTCCCGAAGCCTGGTAGAGGCTATTCTATCTAATCAAGGAGGTTAAAAATCATCTTGTATTTAACCTTCTTGATCTAATGAACTTTTAAATTATGGAAGAAATCACGAGTGGGGCGGCTCAAAAGGTGTGAAAATCACACAAACAACGTAATCCGTTTCGCACGCCGAAACAAAAAGACAATGAGAGACATGTTTAAACACGAAAATTAGCACCAAACAGTGAACTACGTCGATAGGAGGACCGGGTCTGTGATGTCCAAAAATAGCCTGCTCTCAACAAAACACAGACTATAGGTGACGACAGGGCTGAAGCTTTTATTCCCGGGGGCGGCTATCTCAAGTGACACAGAAGACATGGTGACAAAGTCAAGAAACAATGCTAAGAACGATCAAAACGCAGCTTAGCTTCTGGTTTTGGTTAACACATTCTTGCAATTCTTGTGGTGTGTGTGGTTTGGCTATCACGAGTAGCGTAGGCAGACCTGTATACTGTTCATTTCTTCCTAGATCTATCGAAAAGATTATAAGATTTTGACCAAGGAATATGCAATCCAATAAAGTGGTGGTGGGATATTCTTGATCCGTTGCCAGACAGTCTAGGAAATCACAACAACCTAAAGCGCCAGCATGGAAGGATTTGTGTTGCAGTGACGCCGCGCATGTGTTGGGTTTGTAAAACGATGGTTTTAAGAGGATTAGACTTTTCTTTAATCTCTTATTAACGGATTTTGCGAGGGGTCTTGAAGACTTACTGGGTTGTGAAAAGGGCGACTAGGCTAGTAGCTTTGTCACCATCATAGTGTAGTCACTGGGCGGCGTTAAAAAGTCATTTTTCAAGTCAGTATTCTAGTCATTTATCTACATACTGAGTTGAAACCGCACCATCCCAATGTATATTGACCCTCATGGCGCAAAAATTCCTAAATTCTGACAGAAAATGGTGACTGGAAGGACCCTGGGCTGATTTTTAGGGTACCACCCATAAAATAAAGGACTCATCTTGGTACTTGTTTCTGCAGTTTTAAAATGCCCAAAGTATGAAATGCTGATTTAAATGTGCTAATGTAAAGCAGTATGTGTCAATATCACAAAGATTGCCTTATTCATAATATTTCCAGTTTTGCTGCCCTGAAATCGCATTGGATGCCTTGAAGTTTTGACCGTGCCGTGACGACGGAAGATGAAGGCCAGTAGCTGCAGTACCTTCAACCGTCACTGGGCGGCGCAAAATCAAGGCCGTGTCTTGCTTTGGTGCCTCCTGATTATCCAAATGATAAGGAAGAGATATAATTTTCTCAACGGACAAACTCCGTTGGCATGCTTATCTCTCTATTTGGCCAATTTCTACTCTTTCCAGCCGCCTCCCCAAGCCTGGTAGAGGCCTTCAACGTTCAGTTATTGCTAGCCTCTACCAGGCTTGGGGAGGCGGCTGGAAAGAGTAGAAATTGGCCAAATAGAGAGATAAGCATGCCAACGGAGTTTGTCCGTTGAGAGAACAGTTCGCCGTGCCACAGCGTTGCACATGTCCGTGCCAGGATCTTTTGTGGCTCGTGGGATTTTTCTGTAATAACATTTTTGACCGCTAGACGTCGTTTTTGAACGATGAAAATTATATCTCTTCCTGATTACCCAAATAATAGAAATTATGTCAGTCAGATGAATAAGCCATCTTTTATTTCGCTAGTCTAACTTTTCTTAAAACGTTGTTATGAGTGAGTGAGTGAGTAAAATAGATTGGAACCGTGTTAAGTTTAAGACAATTTATTTCAAACAAGCGTTGCTCATCAGCAATCTTTGGCAACATTTGTACATGCGTAAATACAAATGATGGGACCGATTGCCTCCAGAACATGGTGATCTAGCAGTGAAGTTTTGGTTATGTACAACTGACCATCCAGTTATCAGGAATATTTGAAATATTTGTATCACATGGGCCCACCTTTTAATCGTTCTTCTGCTCGTAATTTTTAACTGTTGTGGTGTGGTTGTAGTATGTGTAATTATTGGTCTATGTAGTCTTTCTAATGACTTTGTATTTTAACTTCCTAATGACTTTGTATTTTAACCTCCTGATAACTCTGAATTTTGACTTAATTATGTGTAATACTATAAACGCTTGATTTTAGAATAATGAAATGTACATTGATTCGCAATTCAGTAACTTGTATTAAGGTTACTGCCAATAATTCTTGAGTCTTGAGTCTTGAGCAGTGACTACAGACGTTACAGTGCCAACTCTCTATACACATCTGACTGAAAACTGGTCCAGACCACACCAATCTTACAGCTTGGTTCTCACATTTCTTTCAGATTCCCAAACTACAATCAATAATAATAATTATATAGTAATAATGATGATGATGATGATAATGATAATGATGATAATGATGATAAGAATAATAATAATAATAACGACAATGATAATAATAATGATGATATAACAAATAATCAATAACAATCAATTATAATCAATTACAATCAATAGTTAGCAATGATAATACATGATAACCAAAAATGATACATGATAATCAATAATAATAAAGCATAATGAATAATAATCAATACTCATCAATAATAATATTTAATAATCAATTATAATAAATGACAATCAATGACAAGCAGTTGCAAAATGAGCCAAATATAAGCCGTAAGTAGTGCTGTCCTCAATGTACATGTAGGTGGCAGCATAAAAAGAAGTTGAAAAAAACTTGTGTATGCTGTCACCACGTCTTGTGATTACATATTGCAATTAAAAAATGAAAGAATGAAAATCCCTTAGAAAAAAATACAAATGACGGGGCCGATTGCCGCCAGAACATGGTGATCTAGCAGTGACTACATACGTTACAGTGCCAACTCTCTATACACATCTGACTGGTCCAGACCACACCAATCTTACAGCCTGGTTCTCACATTTGCCAAATTCATTTCTTTCAAATTCCCAAACTACAATCAATAATAATAATAATAATAATAATGATGATGATGATGATGATAATTATAATGATAATGATGATGATGATGATGATGATGATGATGATGATGATGATGATAATAATAATAATGATAATGACAATGATAATAATAATGATGATAATCATAATCGATGATATCAATAATAACAAATAATCAATAACAATCAATTATAATCAATTACAATCAATAGTTATCAATTATAATCCATGATAACCAATAATGATACATGATAATCAACAATAATAAAGCATAATGAATACTAATCAATACTCATCAATAATAATATTTAATAATCAATAATAATCAATAATAATCAAGGATAATAAATGACAAAGCAGTTGCAAAATGAGCCAAATATATGCCTTAAATTGTGTTGTCCTCAATGTACATGTAGGTGGCAGCATAAAAAGAAGTTCAAAAAGACTTGAGTATGCTGTCCCCACGTCTTGTGATTACAAATTGGAATTAAAAAATGAAAGCATGAAAATTCCTTAGAAAAAAAACCTGCAACCCCGAGCGAGTGTAGAAATATGAATGGTCGAAAAGCTTCATTTCCGTTACTCTCCAAGCAGAGGTTTGGGCGTTGGCGTATTTTTTGCATTTTTTGTGGATTTTTCTTCGGGCTTTCTCTTTTGTTCTGATGTCTTTTTAGTGCCAGAATAAAAAAAAAAAAAGATACCAATACAAAAAAGAAAGCCCAATAAAATAAGGAAACGCCAGAAATAAACTGAAGCCAAAAACTTCTGCTTGGATTGTAAATTTCCGTCACTTACTTTCGGTGGAACTCGCATATGAAGGGTAGTTTGCGGGAGCATGGGGCGTCCTTCCAATAGTGAGGTACACCGCGGGCTCGCGAGTAAACAGCGCAATCTGCACCGTTTTGATCATCTGGCTGGTCTTTGCCCCATCTCTGAAAGGCACCAAGCGGAGTGCCGTCCACCCAGACGAAATGCCCTTCTTTGTGCTGATCGTGCAGACCAAACCAGAATTCGACGTTGCAATTGACAAACCTGCAGAGCCTGGCGGCTATACGTGCGCTGGAAAAACGGTCTCGTGGCATGGCAAGGGTACCGCCTTCTCGGCAACAGGTCTCGGCCGCTGTGTTGAAGTCTTCGCGGTGTCGGTACGACTTATAGCAGGTTTTATAACCAAAAAAATGACATGGTGGAACTGGAAAAGTACAAAATAGAAATGATATTAAAACGACACCGTTAAATATTGATTTGCAACTCACGCGAAAACGTATG